TAGCATAATGTGTGACACCTGATACACACACACACAGCGACTCTAGTCTATTGAACTCAAATGATAATCTGAGTGAGTAACGATAAGGACAATAGCTGCTGACACCTACAGCACTTAGTATGTGCCAGGCCCTATTCTCAATATTACACTAGCTAAGCCATTGGGTCCTTAGACACTTTGTGGGCTGGTTCTGTCATTTAGCCCCAGAGTGGAGTGACAAGGCCCTGCACTCTGGGGAAGTGGCTGGAGCTGCTACCCTGCGTGTCTGCAACTGCAAGGCCAGTGGATGAAGGGAAGCGAGGCAGGCTCTCTCCCTTGTCACAGGGCCACACTTTTTTCCTTCTGTTCCCTTCAACCTCTGTGGATGACCTCCAAAGCATGTAATTGGAAACAAATAAACTGGCCTTGGGCCACGTGTGCATCCTGGAGCTTAAGGACCCTTCTAGAGGACCTGGAATTAAACCTGGAAAGCTCCCGGGATGGGGAGCCCCTGGAGGCTGGAGCGGCACTTGGTGAAATATTTTGTAAGTAGGTCACAGAAAAGAAAGTGAAGCCAAGGGTTTCCCCCCACAGTGCGTTAGAAGAAAAAGTCTGTGTGACATCCTAGCCAGAGCCTGAGCCAGAGCCAGGCTGGGCACCTGCTGCAGATTTCCAGGATGTGTCCCTGTGCTGGGTGGCAGTGCCACAGCAATAGGTTTAACCCACCCTCTGGCTTTTATGCAGGGCACACACTGACAGACTGACGGTCATTTCCCTGGTCATCTGTATGACCTCAGCTGTTGCCTGAGCTTTTACACACAAGGGCTTTATGCCTCATTTAATTTACAACCCCTCTGAGGTGGAGTTATTTGGTGACTTTGTGAGTTCTTTTTTTTTTTTTTTTTTTTTTTTTTTGTGCATTGGGCTGGTTTCTATGTAGATGCTCCTGGGAGAGAGTTCGGGAAGACAATTCAGGAGAATAAAATCGAGTCGGGAATTAGGAAGCAAAATTATCTTCCCTGTCTGGAGACAGGGGTCCCTTGCCCCCTCTCAGGAACCAGAAAAGAAAGTTGATTAGTGTTGCTTAAATGCATTGCAATTACCTCCTCGAGTTTTCGTACACTCTGGGGTTTAGGGTAGTCTATAAATCTTAGTCCCGGGTTAGTTGTAAAATCTTGATTTATCCTTCCATATAGGTGTGCTAACACATTCATCAGCTTGAATTATTTAGAGTTATCATGAAAAGGATCTGATTTCTATTGCCTTCCTGATTTGCACTTTAAATATAGTTCCCTGTCTCCAGAATTCATGTTGAAAATAGAAAGAGAAAATTACTTTTAAGCAGTGGTTTGGCATATAACAGCATGATTTACCTTAGAGTATTTCTCCAATTGCTTGTTAAGGCACTCAGACCAAGTTTGTAAGAATCTGAATCTGGAAATTACCATGAAACCAACACCAAACATGGAGCCCCAGGTGGCCACTGCTGTTTGCTCCTTTGATCTGGGTCCCTGAATTGGGGGACTCTTCCTCCCTCCCTCTGTCCCCCATTGGATAGCTCAGGCCACGTGTGGGTGTTCAATTCACAGTGTGAACTCCCCCTCTTTTTCTTTTAGCACTGGGGAGACTTTAATTTTTGAGAAAAATTAAGCCCATCATATACATAAGAAATATATGACATTTCATGCAGGCTTGAAATTAACAATTCAGCTTTTGTGACAACGTATAGAATGAGAATTACCTATAAATACAGCATACTTACAGTTCTCATGCATCATAATCTTATACTGTGATTTATACAGCTTCTCTTTATATTTTATATATCCCACCATGCTCACATGATTAATGTACCCTAAATCTGTGCCGCTTTGGGATTTAGAAATTTAAAGAGAGAGAAAAAGCAAGCACAATAACCTATCTCATCTTGCTTTATGAAAATGAAAACATTTATGTAATGAACTAATTTAAGAAATTGAGGACTTACACACTTTAGTAGCTAGGACTAAACATAAGCAATACAAAATTGAATAAATTGTGTTAGAGTTGTGGAAAGGAAAAGGAATAAGTTCTTCCTTGCAAATTTTTTTTTTTCTCATTTTCCTCATTTATTTGCACCATTTCTACTTCATTTCCATGAAACCGGGATGTTGTTGGTAGGAATTCTGCAAATGATTCATTATTTTAACATTAGATTTATTAGTGGCAGAGCCTATTCTGTACCTTCAGAATACATTTAGGTCCTTGATGATTTCTTTTGTTTGATGGAGATTTTGTAAATGTAACAATAAAACCAACTGGCATTTTAAAAATACATATTTAAAAAAATATTCTTCTAACGAGGACTGTCTTGCCGTATGATGGGTCCTTAGGAAAGCACTGATGGATTTCTTATGCCATTGCTTTAAATATTATATAATTTGTATCTATCATGAGAAAAGGGAGTTTGTAATCTCACATCAGAATGATAGAGAGAATTTTTTTTTTTTTTTAAGGATTTTTAAACTCTACATCTGTGTATTTTGGATGGAATTAGAATCTAGTTTAACATTAGCTCAGTTAAGCCTTGCCTGAATGAAGGAGTCATGTCTTGATTTCAACAAACAGGATTGCTGGAACTCGCTTGATTTATTAGCAGTATCTTTCCTCTGGGTAATTCCCACTTTAAACATTTCGTTGTCAAATGATATTTGCTGCTTACTTATGAAAGGCGACGTGTGAGTAATTTTCAGTACTTAAGAAGCATCTTTCCCACACCTGGCTCTACATTCTGAGGGCCAGTGGCTTTCTTGTGGACACGTGCTCCCTTGTCTGACCTTGCAAAGAAGTCAGGTGAAAGTCAACGCTGGTTATTAGATGATGTCTCCAAAGCTATTAAAATAAGGAAGCAATTTTACTTCCTTAAAGAGGAAATTCTAACCCCTAGATCTTTGTCCATGTTTGAAGTAGGAATGGATTGGGGTGAGGAAGACATAGTTTTTGAATTATAGTCATGTATTAGTCTGGTCATACTAATTCAAATTTTCACAATTCTCAGAATGTTCTGTTTTCCGAAATTCTGTGGCACTAAGGTTACAACAACCTTAGTTGTAACCTCCCTGGAAGATGCTTCTCATTTATTTATTCATTTTTGGTGCTTGGGATCCATCCCAGGGCCTTGCACAAAGGAAGCACATGCTCTATCGCTGAGCTATGCCCCTAGCTCCTGATGTTTCTTAAATAATTCTATTTCAATATCTTCTTAGGGGATTTAAGTATGCAGAGTACACTAAATGCAAATGGAATAAAACAAAACAAAAATATTAAGTATGCTGAAACAGAATTTACATGACATTTGGGGTTACATCTTGCCTCTGTTCTTAGACCTTGACGGATAAATATTTGGATTTTGCTTTTCCTCTGTGTGTGCACGCACCTGTGAGCATGCATCAGTGAGAGTATGGATCAGACCCTGGTAAAAAATAAGCACAGGGTTTGGGGGTGGACCACGAAACTCCTTCCTTCTACTGATTAGGTGCTACTGTTTTAGGAGTAGGCAGCCCTTGAGTGATATGAACTCAGGACTACAATGAAGACTTGTATTCTTTCATCCAAAATTATTGAGCTGCTTCTATGTTCTAGCTATGCTCTTGGTGTATGGGGCAAATAGTCCATAAAACTATTTCTGGATAAGTAAACTGATGTATAAGTTGAAAAGACATGAGATAATTCTCTGATGAAAAGAGTGAGGGGATGAGGAGGGTGTGGAGTTGGGGATTTATTGTTTTAGACCAGGAGGTCTCAGAGAGGCCTCCTGTTCTATCTGCCCATATCTAAATTCCACAGCAGAGGTTCATTTGGCTTGCATTTCAATTTTGCCCTGCCTTTTGAAATGTCATTCTGGAACTGGAAACGATTAAACCATGTTATTCATTTGCTCTTTAGTGTGAGTATGTTTTAGATTATTTCCTTTGTGCAAATGTTAATGGGGAATTTGAGGCAATGGATGTCTGGGGACAAGGAGGTATTAGGTGGAAGGGACCCAAATGGGTGGAGTTGTCTCTCCCCTCTGAGTGGGGTCTCCCTGCCCTCAGGGTGCTCTACCTCTGACACTTCTTGGACTACATCACTGCTCCATGGTATCGATGCTATGATTCTTTAAGTGCATTCCTGCACCTTGGCATTGCCCATTCTCCCCGGGAATGCTGACTGGAGAAAGCTAAGGCTTTGCAATGCTTGCCGCTGGGCTCTTTAGGAAAAGTGCACTGTACAATGAAGGTATTATATTTTTGTTCATTAACCTTCTTGACTGTTTGGATTATCATTTTGCTTTATATTTTTAATGCAGAGCCCAAGTGTGTCTCTCGGGAGATCTTTGTCTATTTATGGGCTCTGACTCAAAACATTAAATCATTCTGAATGGGGAGTGATTTTAATTCTCCTCACTCCTGCCCTGTGGCTTTAGTGGGTTCTCTACACTCTCCTTGCCCACTAACAGCCGCATCTGTGTTACACTTCTAACCCTGCAGCACCCCACCACCACCACCACTACCACCACCAAAAAAAAAAACCCCAAAAAACTCCAAAATTAGTTCTGTTGCCTGCCAGGCTCTGGTAGTGGTGGCAAGGGTGGGAATTTGTACTTCCTCCTGGATTCTCAGGAATTTTCCTTTGCTTGTGAAGTCACCAGAATCAAGGTTTCTAAGAAATATTTTGTATACATATTGTGTGTGTTTGTGTGTATGGATGTGTGGTTTATGAACACAAATGGCATAAAAAGATTTTAATTTCTTTGATGTCGTATTTCTTTTGCTTGGTAGTGCAAGCGGGTTGACTTCACATCAATGAATAATTCTAGATCTGAGATGAAAAAAGCAAACAATACTACTTTGCAGAGATACAGCTGCTTAAAAATGAGCAAAATGTATCTTGTGAAAGTCTCTTTTTTTCCCCTCATTATAAACAAAACTATTGAATGTGAGAGCAAACCTAGATTGCTATTTTAATTTTAAAATATTCCTTTTTTTTTCTCTCTTTTTTTTCAGCTTTTGCTTCGATGTCAGAAGATGTAAAGAAAGAGGTCAAGGTACTGATTCTAATGTTGTCTGCCCCTCATCTCAGAGACTCTTTTATATTTAATGGGAACTGTAAAGATTTTGTCCTTCAGTAGTTGATGTGTTTCTTTTGTTGTACAAATTAATGTAATGTTGACTCACATAGATTTGAAACCCTAACAGCAGCCTACAGGTAGACTTGCTTAAAAAAAAAAATCATTTCATAGTCATAGTAGATCCATTAGGTTTTGAAATCATTTTAGGATCAAAGGTATTTGGCATGGCAGTAGACGTTTTAGAAGTCTTGCTTGAGCACCAGTTTTCTCCAGTCTTACTCTATCCTAACATTACACTTAGTATTTTTCAGTCTGTGAAAGGATTTGGCTTTGTCACTTAGTCCAAATCCAGGCATATCATTTCTTCATGATAATTCAGTGAACATTTTTCTGGTCTGAAAAAAAAGTTAGCACTTTAGTTGTTATTGATTAGTACATTAGTACATTAGATTGTCAAGAGCTTGATTTCTGTTACCTTGAAGGTGGGAGGGGATGCTGGGTTTTAGACCCCCAAAGGCAACCAAGCTGCCATAATCTTTGCATGCTCAGAATCAAAAACCAGACTGGGGACCAGCAGAGAGGAGGCAACAAATCTCATAGCTGCTTTGCTTTGATCATTGGTTGTGTTCAAGAACCTCATCTAAATGTTTACCATTTGCACTCTGCAAGGGACCAATTTAGCACACGGGAAAGAGAAGAAGCAGTATTTCCATTGAAACAGTATTTCAAAATAATTTGTTTTTGTCATATTAATTATGGTTTTGTTGAGTCTGACTTAGCCCACAATTTGTATAAATGTGTTTTATCAAGAGTATTATCTCGTCTAACTATACTGTGAGGTTCTGCCACAGGGGAACTTATAACAATGATGTCTTATGATTTTAAGACTCTTTATGGCTAATAAAGCATCTTTACACATTTCATTTAATTTGATCTTCTCAATGATTCTATTATTGCAAAGTAAATATTTCCAGATATAACAGAGAAAATAAAGCCTTAGAGAGGTTAAGTGATTTTTACGAAGGTCACATGATTATTAAGAAATGAAGTTAAAAGTTTCTGAATCCTTGAATTTTTCACCCTTTACTATTTTATGTTATATAGTCCTGCGCATTCTAATACGTATTTGGCAATTGTGAGGTTATTTAATGACAAATTTACTATAATTTGCCATATAATCATTGCAGATTTTATAACAATTTATTTTTTCATAAAAAAGTGAGTTGTGACCATTATGTGAAGCTTTTCTTTCTTTTTTTTTTTTAATATGCTGGTGTTACTTAAAAATAATTTATCACAAAACTCCCCTTTGTATAAGATTAGGATGCACGGAATACTTATGGATAAATAATAACAAAATCACATAGTCCAAATCCATGCATATAATTTCTTTATGATAGTTTAGTGAACATTTTTCTGGTCTGAAAAAAAAAGTTAACACATTAGTTGTTATTGATTAGTACATTGTAGCTGAAATATTGCACTTGAGAAAATTTAGTACAGTGTTACAAATTGTGGACTTCGAAAATTTAATCTTCCGTGTCTGAAGATTTGCACCACTATTTTCTTATCTTATATTAGACCTGTGTACTGCAACACTCTAAAGCCATGCAAGTGGCCTTTTTCTAATGTTCTGATGATGTGCTTGTGCTGAGCATTCTAGGCAGTGGGTGAGAAGACAAATGCGCATCCATGTGCCACTGGTGAATACATCTCTGCTCTGTTCACCTTTTAAGTGGGTGAGGAACAGAAGTAGACCATGCAATGATTATATGGTGAAAGGGTATAAACCAATTTTTTGATTAAGAAACAGGAGTGGTATGGTTATGCAGTGGTGACGATTATGTGGGGAAATATGGTAAAGTGCTCCCTAATGATTATTAATAGGGAATTAAAGTTTTGTTTAATAAATTTAGAAATTATAGTGCAGTCTTTTAAATATAAGTTTAAGGTATTTTTTCAAATATTATATATGTATATATTGCTTTAAGTTTATATGTAAATATAAATAAAGATAAACAAGCCCTATATTTTAATGTCATCTTTCGTTCAAAGGTATTGATGCACTTGAAAGATGTCATTAATTGCACCTATGCATGGGCTTCCCAGCCAAAATAGCTGTTATTCCCATAAGCAGAGACTATGATAACATGTCTATGCTATAATCAATACACCTGAAACTGGTAGATGGAGAAAAATTAGTTTGTACAATGTTGTTCAAAATCTGTAGTTGAACCTGGAGATGAAATTTAAGGCTCTGAATATTGACCACTTGAATTTTGTTGTCATTAATTTGTCACCCAAGCATGGAGGTCTTTCCCACCACTGTGGCCCAAGGCAGCTGCCTCCAGTTCACCTCACCTCATGCTTGCCTTAGTCAAAGGCCCCATGTTAGACTTTTTGTCCCATGCAGGCTATCTTAGTTGGGCTGGGTTTCTGCCCCCAAGCAATATGTACACTCACTGTTGGTATTGAGTTTGGCTCCCTATCAAAATCCTGAGAGCTGCCAGTGACCTCAGATACATTTGTGGCCCGACCTCTGGGCTCTCTCCTCTGTCAGGTTCCCAATGCCTGAACCACCTTGGATTCTGACCTATGGACAGTTTCAGGGAAGCCTGCCCACTCCAGACTGTAGGTGCTGCCTCAGTTGTGACTGTCCACCTGCCTTCAGACTTGTGCTATTGTAGCCTGTGGTGGCAGGTGTCTTTGCATCCTGTGTGGTGTGAGGTTAATTGTGTACGCTGGAGGCAAAGTGCCATAGTTCATCTATTCTCCATCACATTTTGGGACTTAGACTCCCTGTTTCTCAGCTTGCTCATCTCTAAGATGGGGTAAGAGGATCTATTTCAAAGGGCTGTTATGAAGGTGTGTGTGTGTGTGTAACTCAGAATAGTACCAGTCCTAATGGTTTAGCTAATAGTAAGAAATGTCTTATGCAACCTTTCAAGGGGTTGCTTAAATAATCTCTTCTGCCTAGGCAAGTCAAAGCAACAAAGTAAAAGACCTGATTACTTTCACTAGTTAAATTTCTTTTTGTGGTAGCAGCTGAAGTCATATGAAATAGATAATGATGGTGACAAGAATTGGAGCCAGATGAGAAACTGAGGCCTCACCCAGTAATTGGTGGAGGCAGATTTAGAGAACAGGACCAGCTTACAACTGGTTACAATAATGAGAACACATCTGGAATAATGTACTTGAAATCTAGAGGGGGGTGGTGAGGACAGAGTTGGAAGATGGCATTTTATTTCTCTTTCTTCATCAAAAATTACATACCAAATATTTTGAGCATGTTATACTTTGTTTTGGTGAAGAAGTTTCAAATTAAGCATTGCATATTTCGATTGCATGTGTTCAAATCTGTTGTGGCTTAAAAACATCAAACCCATGTAAAAGAGTGACACGGGTGTCTGTTCCTGGCTAGGGTGGGAGCTGTTGGCAGAGTAAATGCATTAATAACCAATGTCTTTCCTATCTGAATGGTAATTCAGTTGACTTATACAACCTTGACTGTGAGCACATTCTGATTAATATTGATAGTCAGTATAAGAAATGTGGCAGCAGAGATAATAAAACAAACCATGTGTTTCTTTCTTCTTAGAAAGAGCTAAGACTATTCACGAGGGGCACTGAAGACAGAATTTTAAATGTTCTGTCAGTTTGTTCATTTACTCTCATTTTCTATCTCAAAGGGGAGATGACTCAAGACCATTCTGGTTCCATTTGAGTTCACCTAATGCAACCGTTCCTCGAGTGTTTTATTTTAACAGTTTACAGATTGAGTCATTTGAAATAGCTAATCATTTCCTAGCTATTGTGTCAGCCCATCTGAGCTACAGTGCTTAATAACAACTAGAGAGATACATAATTTGGGTTCCTGTTCTTAGGATTCACAAAGCTATCCGGTGGAAAGTTCAGCTGGTGCCCCAGTTTGTTGAAGTCGGTCTGGAAGCACTGCATTCTGCTCTTTTTTTTTTTTTTTTTTTGTCTTTCAATGTGTTGTTAAAGGTGACTTCTGTTGTAGATGTTAGTTTTAGCTTACTCTCAAAATATGTTCATATCTAAAGGACGCCTCTGGGCAAGGCTGTGTGTGCATGGTGGTGTAAGGAAGGGGCATTACAGAGGGCTTGACTTTCATCCGGGTTTTGTGGCTAGTGACTTGGGCCCTGGAAAATTCCTTTATCTTCCTTATGATAAAGGATTGTCTTGTTGGTGAAAGGGCTGTGTTGGATTTAATCAGCTCCAGTGCTCTTTCTAGATGGTAACATTGGACCTTTCTGTGAGCCTTATCTGGCAGCCAAGTTTGTGGCCTTGCAAGGAGCTGACAGCTTTGGTTCAAGGGCAAACATAAGGTTAATGGTGGGAAGCAGTGATGCCCTGGAGCCAAGATCAGCGCCCCCAGCCCCCACAGCAGGTGGTTCTGATCAGGTGTGGCATTTAGGGGATTTTGTGCAGGGAGTCTATTATCACTAACTTAAGATCTAACCTGGCTTTGGCTCCCTACATTTAGAGATGTAGGTTAAACTCTCTGGGCTTTTCAAGTGGGTTCTTCCAAAAGCCTCTTTTATCAGGATTAAGTGACATTAGATCCTGAGATCTAACAAATAAGCACCTAACTGTGAATCTTCCCTGGCTCAGTGGCATTTCTAGTCTTGAGACAAAGATAATAATTTTATAAAATGCCATGTGCAGTTGTCATTCCCCTGTGTTTAGTTCTTCCTCCTCCCTGCCTATTGTCCCTGCCTCTTTGGCATTCTTAAAGGACACATTGCTTTGTGGCTGTATCTTGGCTTTTAAGCTGCTCCAGGTTTTGATGGTAGAGGCTCACAATCAATCCTTAGTGCAGTGTGTGAAGGAAATTGAGGGATATTTGCCACCATCCAGGTAATTACAGCATATGGCTGTTGAGAGTGGAAAGGGCGATTAAGAAGAAACTGCCTTTTCAATCTGTGGAGGAGATAACAGAAATGGCAGATTCAGCTGCTGATTCCTTGTACTTTGTCAAAGAATCTCTTGAGAGTTCCTCCTTGAATCGCATAGGGTCAGAACCAGGTATGTCCGTGACAGCATCCAGATATCTGTGTCTGGAGATTGCCAGCTCCGAAGTTCCTCTTTTATACTTGTGACTGTGTGTGATACTATCTTAACAAAATACCTGAGACTGGTCATTTGTAAAGAACTAAGGTTTATTTCTTACAGTTCTGCAGGCTTTGAAGTCCAAGGTGGGGGCATCCAGTGAGGGCTTTTTTAAATAGAGTCATTCCATGGTGGAAGGCAGAAGGGCAAGAGAGCATGTGTGAGAGCAGAGGACTGAACCAGGATTTATAACAACTCACTCTTAATGACATGAACCCACTTGTGAGGGCTGAGCCCTAATCACTTGTTAAGGGTTCCATCTCTCAACACTGTTGCACTGAGGATGAAGTTTTCAGCATGTGCTTTTGGGGGAGCATATTCAAGCCATAGCCACTACCATCAGCTGACCTCCTCTGTTGCCCTGTGCAGGCCCCTAGGGCCTGCAGGAAGCAGAGAATGTGGTGGGAACCTTCCTGGTGACAGTAGGTCCAAACTCCCAAAGAGCACTTTTTTATGAGGAATACCCTGCCAGTAAGGGGACTGTCTCTAATCGGTTTGTGATGCTTTAGAGTTGAGAGTTGACAAGGTTTCTAAAATTAACTTTCAAAGAACATCATCCTACACAGGAGGAAAGAGCTTCAGCTCAATTAAGCGATTTGCCCAGGATCATGTAAGAGAAGCGCAGTTCTGATTCAGCGCTTCTGGGTGAGGCGGAAGTACTCCGTTGCTGCTTTCCCACCTTATGTTGTGGTCTTCTTTCTTTAGGAAAGTGTTTCCAAGCTTCTGTCTTCAAGTCTTCCCCCGAAGTGTTAAAATGTACCATACATATTTATCCATAGATTGCTAGCTCTTGTTATTCGATGAGATTTATCATTTTCTCTTTCATTTTAAACATAGGATTTGAAGAAAAGTGGGATATCAAGAAAAAATGGCATAGGTAAGTGATATTTTTAAACCTAAGAGTGTATGTATTTAGGCATTTTTTTGTACATTATATTTCATAAAGTATATTTTTCTGTTTCTATTTATGGGATAAATTTTGTTGTTCAAATACTCTTTCCTATTATGCAGAGGTGGGGAGAACACTTTTCAGACTGGCATATTGGCATATGATAGGTGTTGGAGGTAACAATTAAAGTGTGAGATTTAATTCCCTCAGCCATCACTCACTGAGCTTTCATGAGGGTACAGCATCATGTCTGGTGGGTGCTGTGGGGGTGCAGAGCAGGACAAGACATAGTCTCTGTTCTTAGGGGCTGTGTTAGTTCATTTTCTGTTGCTATAACAAATACCTGAGGATGAGTATTTATGGAGAAAAAATTTTTATTTAGTTCATAGTTCTGGAGGCCGAAAGTCCAAGTACATGAGGTTCCATTTGTTCTGACTCTGGTGAGGGCCCCCCTGTTGGCTGCATCAGATCATGGCAGATGGCATCATGGCAGGGATGAGTGGGAGAGGCAAATGTCACATGGCAAGACAGAAAGCCAGAGAGATTCAGGAATCGGGCTCGTTCTTTTATAGCAGCTCATTCTCAGAGGAATTAACTGGGCCCTCAGGAGAGCTACATTGATCTCTTCTGAGGGCAGCACCCCAATGACCTAACCACCTCCCATGAGGCTCCACCTCTGAAAGATCCCACCACTTCACAGCCCTGCCTCTCTGGGGACCAAGCCTCCAGATCATGAGCCTTTGAGGGACACATTCAAAAGATATCCACACCATAGCAGAGACTCGTACTTAGTGGGAAAAGAGGACCAACTGTGGCCTTTGCTCATGCTGTCTTCTTAGAGCCGGGCTCCGTCCTTGACCGGTGGATGGCTGTGTGCCCTTTAGGGTCAGTTCAGTCACATCCTCAGACTCATCTGGGGGACTCTGGCCCGAAAGCTGCTCCTCCCTCCTTTGTGACACACCGCCCATCTGTCACAGCCCATCTACACGTTGTTGGTACTTCCTACCCCAGCATGTTGTAATCATCCTTAGGGATGCGACCATGAGTTAGTCACCTGTTAATGTCATCTCGTGTGTGGACAGAGGGCAAGGCTGCACCCCTGGAAGTTGGAGTGGGCCTGACCTCCAGGCATGTGAATTTTGTCCTTGTCCTTCATCCCAGAGTAGGCCATAGAGACCTGGAAGACAAACTTTGGATAACAGGGAGAGGGAACGCTCTCCTTTCTAGGCCTTTCCTTCCTAAGCCTGGATTCTGAGGATGCAAAAGAGCAGGAAGCTACTCCCTACCCCTTCACATGGAAGGGGAGGTGCATCTGGGGCCTATGGGGGCAAGGTTCAGGGTCTGTGGGCTCTGAGAGTAGCTGCATTTAAGGGACCATGTCTGTTCATTGTTTTTTCTTCGGTTACAACACCCCCTTTGGTTCAGCTGATCCTTCCCACGAGGAGATTTCTCTCTGCTGCCCCCACTGGTGGTTTTGGATATTTGTAGGTTTATTTCATGGGAGCTGTTGGGTCTCCTCCTAGTGCTTGTGTTGAGAGACCTGAGTCCGCAACACGAGCTTGAAACTACCCAGGGGAAGTTACTTTGGACAAGTAAATTGACAATCTTACAACTGCAAACTGCAAGGCATGGTGATACCCAACTTGGTATCAGTTCATCTGAAAAAGACCCAAGGGGCTTCTTTCTCCCAAGTTTTCCTGTGCACCTATAGGAATAGGAGGCTACTAAAAAGCAATAGTGTCATAGTCATGGTGTCATCAGAAAAGCCAGAGTGCCACAACTCTGGGCCCACAGTACTCAGAGCAGGTCACAGCCTTCACACACCAGTTGGTCATTTTTCCTCTTTTGGCTCACTGCCTAATCAGTCGACTCACTAGTGTGCAATTGCTCTTGCTAAGGAAGACACACTTGGAGTGGCTCTTCCTGTGTATGGGTATGTGTATCTGTATGCACGTTTACCCTTCAGTTATAGATCATAAGGCTACTTGTTAGTCACCTTTTTCAGAAGAAACTGTATTGATTTCTCATCAGAAAAGCACCAGTATGATGAAATCCATTCTACGGGGTCATTTCTGAGTGCTTGGCCCCTCTCCAATGGGTGCTCAGCAACGGATGAAGTTGTTTCTCTTCCAGGCATCCTTTTTTAACTTTACCCTTGGCCCTGTTGCCTTTCCTGAATCTTCTCTGCAGCACACTGTTAGCTGCAGTATCTCCTTGGTCCTTTCCGTATCCTTGACTAATTTCTTTATCTTCCCCTTCTTCTAGCCTGTCATATTGGTAGTCATTGTCAGGCTCTTAACATGCAACCCATTTATTACACATTGTTGGAGGAGAAATGATGGCAGTCTGTTACGGGTTGTGCCAGTGTTTGCTGAAGGCGAGTTGCAGTGAGTTCAGAGACGTGCTACCAAGATGCAAAGAAAATAGTGCAATTGTCTTATTCAGTTGTGTCCAGTGGGCAGTGGGAACCTGAGAGTCCAGCGGCTGAATGGCATCAACAGAGAAAACGGCTGCCCAGATAAACTCTGGGATCTGGACTTGGCCAGAATGTGATTTGGCTGAGGGAGGGACTAGGTTGTATGTCAGAAAATAGTTCTTGGTGCTGATGTGAAGAACTGCTGTGATTTAAGCATGTAAGTTGTTTTTAGCTGTAGCAGCCTGATTATTCCCTGGAGTGGGTTGGGACTGAAGAACATGTTAGTGATTTTTCTTTATTCATGAATGTCAGGTGTCCCCTTCCTCTTTAGCCTTAGCCCCGAAATATCTCCAACATGCATCCTATTTATTAGCCAGTTCCAACTGTTAATATTTTCAGAGTCCCAAATTCAACTCTCTGTTCCAAGCCTTCACTGCTCTCTCTGCAGGGAAGGTCTCCCCCCATCCTTTCTTTTTGTGCCTGTCCCCAGGACATAGTGGCCTCCTTCCCTCCTATTGGCAGACCCTGCTGCCTGCAGCCACACTTAGCTCCTAAGACCCTAGCCAGTTTGAAGGCAGTTCATTTGCATTCCAAGCCTCATAGCACAGCATATAAGTCCTTCGTGATCTGGTGGGGCTGGGTCTGACTCTCTCTCTAACTTTATCACCCACAGTGCTTCTCATTCTTTTTTCAGAGGGGCTGCCAGATTCTCTGGGTAGGAACTCAGGAATGCTACAGAAGTAAGGCAGGCTGCCAGCTCTGTAATAACCCCTTGTCTTCATTCCCTAATGATCTGCTACCCTCTGTGTGTGAGACAGCAGAACACTGCAGCCTTTTGAAGGGAACGGTGGAAATCCCTCTTTCCAGGGTCGTTTCTTGACCCAGCCTCACCTGCTTCCCATGCATGCTCCCCTAGTACCCTGGGCTTAGCTGTGGCTTTCCACCTCCTGGTTTGGTTATCACAGCCTGACTTCTGAGCTATAGGCTCAGACATTTCATTGTTGTGACTGGGCTCATTCATCTGTGCATTCCAGAGCCTTGCACTTAGTGAGCACTTGGAAGATGGTTGCTGAATAAATGCATGTAGCATGCAAGATTGGAGTACATAAAAAGGAAGGGGTGAGGGTGGTTTCTTAGTAGTTGTGTTAAAAAATGAATGGCAGAAATTCACAGGCATGACTCAGATATATGAAAAGGGGAAGAATTTGCTTTTGTTCTTATAAGATCTCTTCCCTGCATGGAAGAACTGTGGTCTTTGTGAGAACAATGAGAAATTTGCTGAGCTGGTAGAAGCATCAAGAGTCAGTTACCATGGTGCAGGTAGGGTCAACTTTTTGACAGACAGATCTTCTATTCTTTTAAAGATTTTATTATGAAGCAATTTGAACACATGAAAAGGCATAAATACAGAGATACTGAATATCCATGTATCTTCCACTTAGATTAAGAAACACAGCACTACTGCTACAGCCAAAGCCTGTTAACCGTTATCCTCATGCAGTGTTTATCATTCTCATATAATTTTTTATACTTTTACATGATATGAATGCCTACATATAATATAGATCCACTTTATGAGTATTTCTTGTTCTATATTTGCAAACTGTTGATTTATATAGTTATTCTTATGCAATTTGTTTTTTTTTTCCCCAGGATTATCTTTTTGGTATTCAGCCACAGTATTTGGATTGATACATATCATGCTAGTTAATTTTTACATGTGGCTACTTTATGTTCAGAGTGCTAGTTACTTTTTACTGCTATGTAGTATTCTGATTTATATATCTTGTTAGTGGATATTTGGGTTTCTTTCTTTCTTTCTTTCCTTTTATACAATGCCACTGTGAACACTCTTTTTATATGTCCTTGTATACACATGAGAGATTTTCAAGGATGATTAATAGGAGTGGAATTTCTGGGTCATGTGCATCTTCAACCTTATTAAATATTGAAAAAAATTATCCCCTGAAGCTCCATTCTTATAAAAATAAATCTTTATCACTTCTATTTTGATATGCCACCTTATATTAATGTTTTAGATATAGTGGATCGAAGATAACATTTCAGTTGAAATGTAAAACACCCCTTTAAGCTTTATCCATGTGTTTGGTGCACAGAGCCAAGAAGTCGATTTAAAGCAGATGGAATGGTTATGTTTACCTAAACTCCTAAAGGGAAGGAATTAGGTCATATTCAGTAGGTTGTTCAGCATTTCCTTTTAAATTTTTTATTGAGTTTTAACCAAGGAACATTTCAGATTATTTTTAGGAACTAGGTGGCTCTCTGCGGAGCTGTCTGTTGTCTGAATATTTGAGTGAGTGAAGAAATGAATGGAACTATAGAACCAAACATAAGAACAAAAAGACACAGTGGAATACAATTAAAACCAAATTGGGCCTGGTGGTGACACACATCCCTGTAATCCCAGCTACGTAGGAGGCTGAGGCAGGAGGATCGTGAGTTCAAAGTCAGGCTCAGCAACTTAGTGAGGCTTTAAGCAACTCAGCGAGGCCCTCTTTCTATTAAAATATAAAAAAGGGCCAGAATTGTGGCTTGGTGGCTAAGCATCCCTGGGTTCAATCCATGGTCCAAAACAAAACAAACAAAACAAAACAACAAATTAGTGTCCTTGAATGGAGGTGTTAAGGAGACAGGCTTGTGGTGGGAAGAAGGTCCCTGTATTGGTCTGCTATGCATGTGGCTGGAGGTCACAGTATATGTGACATCTTCTTTCTGCCCACACCCTTGTATGGTGGCAGGGTGATGCCACTGTGGCTGTTTCTATCTATTCCCGTATTATGAGTTCAGAACCTCAGCGGCCCAATGTGCTTCTTAAGTATGTGGCTTGAACATCTGCCTCTAGTGGCAGGACCTCTGGGAATTGCCCCCGCTAGGTGGGCATGACATCCTAGGGTTTTGCTTGCTATTATAAAAGACTGGACCCTCTTAAAGTGGGCCCTCGAGGGCTGGCAGATGCTGCTGGGGTGTGGTCATAAGTGGGCTTTTGTGTGGCACTTTGGCCAATGCCTGCGGTTGTTCATGTTTTGTAGCCGTCTTCCTGGGGAGAACCTCTAATCTGGATAAATTCCTTGTGATGTATGGTAGGGATGATTGAGGCATTTATTTGCAAATACTTGTGAACTCATGGGACATATGTATTCACTGTTAAGTGTCACTGTAAAGGGCTCCAGAACATTCTCAAAATGGCTTAGTAGTGGTTCATTAGGGCTATGTTCTACTTTAGGTATGAACTATCTTCCATAGGCCCCTGTGTTAGACTTGGTCCCCAGACTCTGGTGCCACTGGGAGGTGGTGGGACCTTTGAGAGGCGGAGAAGGAAGGTAGGTTATTGGAGGCATGTCCTTCAAGGGGATAGTCTCTCTTTGTTTCCTGGATGTCATGATGTACTGTGCCACCAGAGGTCCAGAGCAACAGGGGCAAGTGGCCATGGGCTGAAGTTTTCAAAACTATGAGCCCAAATAAATCCTTCCTCCTGTAAGTTTATTATCTCAGGTGTTTTGTCACCGAAACAGAAAGATAACGTAGACTATATAACAGAGTGTCCCAGAATGGGTGGCTTAATCAGATATCTATCATCTCCCAATTCTGGAGGCTGCAAGTCCAAGACCAAGGTGTTGACGGGGCTGGTTTCCTCTGCGGGCTCTGAGGAAGAGTCTGTCCCAGGCCTCTCTCCCTGGATTGTGGATGGTCATCTTCTCCACATGTTTTCACACCATTTGTCTCCACATGTCACCTCAGTGTCCATATTTTCACTTTTTATAAGGACCCTGATCCTCTTGGACCTCATTTAACTTGATTGCTTCTGTAAAGGTTCAATGCCATAAGGTCACATTCTGGGTACTGAGGGTGAGAACTTCAACCCATGACAATAGCAGCACAGCGAGGGAGTATGTGATTGTGGGATTTTCAGTCACTAGGGAAGTGGTTATTCTAGTCACTTTCGAACTTTGGCACATTCTTTTTGACAGATGCAGGAGCACATTCTCCATTTGTTACCACAGCTTTGGTCTAGTACAGTGAGCTTATTTACTTGCTAACTTCTAGGAAGTTCATTTCGGAAACCAGTTTAAAAGCTTTGTCTCTGAAATTTTATATAAATAGATTTCCCCTGCTGAGAGTTCATTGCCTGAAGGATTATTTTGTAGTTGATGCTGGGTTCCCCCCCGCCCCCCCTTTACTTATTTTCAAGTTTATTTCAAACATTGTTTTAAAATACCTGAAAATTTTTTTTTTTTTTTGGTTCTAGGCTTAAAAGAAATTATATTTGTCATCCAGAGCCAAAGTTATTCTTTTCATGCAAAGAAAGCAGAGCAATTGAAAAAGATCATCTTAAAAGAGGCTGCAAATATTACACAGGTATGTGGAGATGGTTTGGAGTGTCTGTAATTATGTATTTCTTCATATATTTTATGTTTTCCCAAACACCAAATCAATTTTATTTAGATGAGAGTAACTCATCTGACTCATTTGGCTTATTTAATATTGTCTCTTTGTTGTTGAAAATGCTCTTCTTCATTCCTAATGCTCAAAGCATCATATACTAAATTATTGTGCATGTGTGTGTGTATATAATATTTATATATGTATTTAACCTAGAATTATACAATCGTGTAGGGCTTTGTATGGCTTTGCCATGAAGTCTGATAAAACAAAGTAGAAGAAATGACTTTTTAAAGGCAGGACTTAAAATAGAGATAATTAATATTCAGAATTTTGGTAACAAGTTCTAAAGGCAATTTTCATGTTGAAATAACATTTTCATTAATCTTAATGTGGTGCTCTCTCTGTGAGCCTCTTAATCTGTTTTTTAATTGGATGTCATTAATTGAACTTTGATTTGATTTATAATGTAATATCCCAGAAGGATTATGGAGAGGAAAATCTACACATACAGGTACATTTTAATGACATTTAAAATAGACATGAGCTGAATCTAAAGTTGCTATGAATAATGGTGAGGTTTGACACAAAGGAAGATCTACTTTCTTGTTCAGGAGTCCCCTTTTATTTGTAGGAATGTGTTCCAAGACCCCCAGTGGATGCCTGAAACTGCAAATAGTACCAAATTACATACTATGTTTTCCCAATACATACATATTTAGGATGAAGTTTAGTTTGTAAATTAGGCACAGTAAGAGATTAACAACAAAAACTAACAATAAAATAGAATGATTACAGCAATGCACTGTAATAATATTGTCAGCACCACTGTTGTTTTAAATTGTGCACTATTTTGAGTAGTATGATAAAATCTTGGGCTTTTTTGCTTAGTCCTTCCCAGGGCATGAACCATCTCTTTGTTCAGTGTGTCCTTGCTATATATGCTACCTGCTCACTAGTCACTTAATAGTTATAAGTAAAATAAGGGTTACTTGGACACAAACACTATAATTCCACAGCAGTCAGTCTGATAACTAAGTTGACTGTTGTGACTAGTGGGTGGGTAGCATATAAAGCAAGGATACACTGGACAAAGCGATGATTTATGTCCTAGGAAGGACTCAGGAAGACAGCCCAAGATTTCATCATACTACTCAAAACGGTGCACAATTTAAAACTTCAGGAATTGGTTTTTTTTTTTTAAATGGAGTTTTTCATGTAACATTTTAATATTGTGGTTTATCTCCAGTAATTTAGATCATAGTTAAAGGGGGATTCATGTATTGCTGTATATGTGCTTTCTTCTTTAACCAAGTGAAAAAAAACTTCCTTCAGGGCCTTTGCACCAGATTGCTATGGTGCTTCAAGACAGTATATTTGTCTGTATTCAAATGCTATTTCTTGGTTTTCTTAGGAAATAACTTTTTTGCCAAGAGATATACATGTTTGACGGATTGCTTTCTTCTCTTGGTGGGGGCCGGAAAATAAAGGATCAGAAATATCAATGGAGTTAAGCATCCTTAACAATATTTGAGACAAAGACATTGCTGAGAGTAAAGTTTACTGTATCTTGTCTTTAAATGATTGACATAAACTTCTAAAACCTCCTAGCATCCCTACAAGAGCAAGCTCTCTAGGTTGCCCCATTTGGAACATTATAATTTCTCAGGGAGAGAAAAGAATTACATGCTTTTGACAGATTATTGTTTTTGGTAATCAGAGATTAGATGAGCCTCATAGGTTTAAAGTTCATCTTTGTCCAGAAACTTAACTTTTAATTTTTTTTTTTTAAACTGGGTCTTCCTGATCTCATGAGAGGGGCAGACACACAGTAATCTTGATTAGCTAAATTCCATCTGTTCTAGTGGAGGCACTAGTGGGGGGGCAAATGCAGGCTGCTGCAAAGAGAGGAGCACAGTATTCTCAATAGTCCTTCCGTTGTGTCCAGACAAACATGAACTGGATTTAGCTTAACTGGACCTTGGCCACTAACCTAAATTATGTGACCACAATTACACAATATTGGCAGGTCAGTACACAGTTAGGCATTACTTACTCATATATGAATTAAGGGTACCCTCTTTCCTGTGTGCCTGCCTGTTCCCTACTCCCAGAAATGCCTTCCATCTTGCAGAGAAAGACTCGTGTGTGGATTATGTGTCATCCCCATGTATTTAACCCACAGGAGTAACTTTTGCCATTAATGTGGATAATAACATTCTTTGCCAACAAAATCTAGTTGGTTGAATTTACCCCCATACTTTCTCTGCTATTTGTCTACTCTTATTTTTCTTCTTCTTTTGTGTAGATGAGTACACATCATTGACTCTCCTACCTTTCCTCTTTACTCATCTGGGAAGCTTAGTTTACAGGGCACCTTGGAGCAGAACAATGTTCCTGAGACTTGGTCTGCAGTGGGGATAAGGCATGAGAGTACTTTTTGTTGGGAAGTAATAGAAATTATATAAAAAATTATACAAAGGAAATTCTTTTTTTTTTCTCATTAGGACAAAAGAGACTTGGGAGGGTCATTCTAGGGGCTGGATGTGCCTACCCTTCTTTGGAGGCTCTGCAAAAAGTAGGGCCTAGAGGTGCAAGATTGCTGGATGATTAAAACTGACCATAGACCCTGTGGGAGGGTGGTTATGGTTCTCATTGAAACAGAACATGACAAATTTTTATTTAGGAATGAAAAATGTGTGTTGGCTGGAGCTTCTTGGTGTCTCTCAGTGTTTTATTTTGTTAGTTTTTTGGTACTGGGGATTGAACCCAGGGCCTCGTGCATGCTAAACACATGCTCTACCACTGAGCTTTATTACCAGCCCTTTCCAGGAGTTTTGAGGCAGGATGGCAGGCAGCTGAGAGGGATTAGATCCAGCCCAGTGGAGGAAGCCTTCCGTGTTTCTTCCCCTTTGCCTGGATAATTATACCAAAGCTTATGGACTGATGTTTCTGCCCCTGGATCCCAGCATTGTCTCCTGTCACTCAATTCTTCGAGCTTTGCTTCCCAGCAATTTCAAACTTCTTCTGCTCACCTTGTTGTGCCTCTGTGGCTCTGCAGGAGTTGAGCTTATCTTTCTCCATATCCCCAGGAGGCCTTTCTGTGTCCCTTCCTGACCCTCCCTTGCAAAGCACTTTCTCTGTGGTCCCGCTTCTGTATCTTGTACAAATTCTATTGTGTACTTTTCACTTTGTATTATTGCTTGTTACCATTTTGTCTTTCCTACAAATTTTGAGAGCAGAGAAAAGAATGTGTCTTATTAAGTTTTTGATTTCTCAGAACCAAGCACAGTGTCTGTGTACTTAGCCTGAGTTTTCGGTGAATGTTAATTGAATTGCATCCTGAAATTCATTATCTCTTCTTTCCCAGAGCTGCTTTCTTTTCTATTGTAATAGGAGTTCCTTTTCACTTCTCTTCCAGACAGCATAGATACCTTTGGTCATGCGCAGGCACACACACACACACACACACACACACGCACCCAGATGTACACACACACACGCACACATGCATGCACACACATTGCATTAAGTCACAGGTTCTCTGAAGACAGACGCTTCTTTGGATCTCTCCACAGCACTTTAGACGAAGGAAGTATCCAATATGTGGTAGTCAAATTGCAAAAAATTCCCTTGACTTTTTTAACATAGACAACATAAAAATGGTTTAAGGAAGGTAGAAGATTTACTTCCCCTCCCAAACAGCCCAGTCAGTGGTCAGGCTGGGGTAGGAGGCTCTACTCCAGGTTTCTTGCTCCAAGTTTCTTGTCCTTTTCCACCCTGCAATGTGTGGAGGACAAGTATGAGGA